CTTGTATATGAGCTCGTATCGGAGTTTTTATCATTTGGCTAGCTCCTCTAGGTGATTTGGGACTTAGGAGCATGATCGGAATGTATTTTGGAAGTCCATGGAAGGTTTAGGCTTGAATTGGCGAAATTGAGATTTCGGCTTTTTCCGGTTGATAGGTGAGATTTTGATATAGAGATCGGAGTGAAATTCCGAGAGTTGCAATAGTTTCATTGTGTCATTTGGGATATGTGTGTAAAATTTTAGGTCATTCGGACGTGGTTTGGTTGGGTTTTTGATCAAAAGCGTACTTCGAAAGATTTTAGAAAACTTGGGCTTGAATTCGATGAGATTTGGTAGATTTGATGTTGTTTGAGGTGTTTTGACGATTGGAACAAGTTTGAATAAAGTTTTAGAATGTGTTGGTGCCTTTGGTTGAGGTCCCGAGGGCCTCGGGTGAGTTTCGGGTGGTCAATCGGACCATTTTGTGCCTTAAAAGATAGCAGAAAATTGCAGGTTTGGCTTCAGTTCTGTTGCAGGTATTTCCCCTTCGTGATTGCGTGAGGAGGCTCGCGATCGCGTAGAGTTATTTCTGGGGGCATCCAGTTGTTCTTCGCGTTTGTGTAGATAGGGCCGCGATCGCGTAGGTTTATGTCGCTGTGAATCGCGGTCGCGTGGTATCATTCGCGATCGCGTAGTTGGAAGATTTTGAGCATTGCGTTCACGTGAGGGTATACGCGAACGTGTAGAGTAAATTATGGGTTGTGCTTCGCGATCGCGATGGGTTTTCCGCGATCGCGATTAAGTAAAAATGAGAGCTGGGCAGAATGTTTTAAAAGCTCATTTCCGCGAATTTGAGGCTAAGTTCCTCTATTGTTGGTCGATTTTGAAGCTTTTGGAAGAGGATTGAAGAGGGATTCAAGGGGAATCACCTAGAGGTAAGATTCTTGGACTAAAAGCTCGATTATATTGTGAATTCCACCTAGAAAATCATGAAAGCTAAGCCTAAAATTGAAGAACTAGGGCTTGAGAAATTGGACTTTTAATTTGGGATTTGAAGGACCATTTGGGGTCGGGTTTGAGTACTTTTGATATGTATGAACTCATGGGGAGATAAGGAATCTAATGATGTGAAAATTTCTGAGTCTCGAGAAGTGGGCTTGGGGCTCGGGTTTTGCTAATTTCGGGATTTTTGGTATTTTTCAATTGTTTTCGCTTGGGCTTTGTTCCCTTAGCATATTGTGACATATTCATTCTGATTTTGGATAGATTCGAAGTGCGTGGAGGTTGATTTGAGGGGCAAAAGCGTCGCAAGCTAGAGATTTAGCCGGTTCGAGGTGAGTAATGGTTGTAAATGATGTTCTGAGAGTTTGAAACCCCGGATTGCACATCATAGTGCTATATTGAGGTGAGGTACATGTTTGACGATGAGCGTGGGGTCGTGTGCTATTGAGGATTGTGACTTGGTCCGTCCCGACTAATGATTTTACCGCGTATTTGATTGAAAACTAATTGCTATCATCATTATTTGGGCTGAATGCCATATTTGGGCCTAGTGCCAAATATTTGAACCTTTCGGGGATCGTTGTTGATATTTCCTCACTGTTTGATTTTATACTTTAACTCAGTCATGTTATTTTTCACTATTTTCAAAACTCAGCCAAGTTTACTTGCTTTAACACTAGAAATTATATTTAAAATAATATTTTGGGCTGAGCATCATGTTTTACTGTTGCCCAAGTGGCTTATATGATTTTTGACTGAGTAAGGCCGAGGGCCTGTGTTGTGAGGATATCTTTTGGGTCGGGCTGCACGCCGTAGCAGTGATACATTGATCTGATTATGAGGCCGAGGGCGTGAGATATGTACGCCACGAGATGGCTTGTTGGTATTGATATGAGGCCGAGAGCCTATTATGATGCCACGAGGTGGCTTGATATTGCGCTTGAGCCGTAAGGGGCCCCTCCCGGAGTCTGCATACCCCCATTAAGCGCGGGTACCCATTGTGATGTGAGATATAGCCCGAGCAGCTGGTATTGTTCTGAGATATTGCCCGAGGGGCGAACCTTATGTGCTTGTCTTTCCTATTTGCTTGTCATGTATTTGTTTAATTGTGTATTTGTGCCCGAGGGGCGGGTTTCTGTGCTTATCTGCGCTAATTGTTTTGCATTCATTTACGCAACTGTTGAGAAAGTCATTTTCAAAGAAGTTTAAACTGAGCTAAGATGTTTAAAGAGATTTTACAGCTTCATTGCTTTCATACTGGTTTTGAACAGCTTCTATACAGCATCCTGATATGCTTTACGTGATTTCTTACCATTCAGACTTTAGTTATGATTATTACTCACTGAGTTGGAGTACTCACTTTACTCCCTGCACCTTGTGTGTAGATTCAGGTATTTCTACACCCGGTAGCAGGTTTTGGCTGATCGGAGACAGAGTCATCGGAGCTTAGCAAGGTAGCCGCCAACATTCGCGACATTGCTTTTCTCCCTCTTTACTTCATTAGTTTGTGTTTTGTACACTTCAGGCTTTCAGTTGTATTTATACCCTAGTAGATGCTCGTGACTTGTGACACCCCGGTTAGGGTTGTGTCGGGTTGTATTTCCGCTACTTATTATCGTTAAATCATGTATACACTGCTTTTATATTGTTTAACTATTTTAAAAAGTGAAATGGGCTTAATTGGTTGGCCTTGTCTTCACGAGAGGCGTCATCATGACCGGGTTCGGGGTTAGGGTCGTGACAGTATCGCATTACTGTCTCTTTCTATAACATTGTCATAATTTATCATGTACAGGTAAAACAAATTTAGAAGTCGAATTACAGAATGATGACTTGTTGTTAAAAAATTACGTACATTTAAAAGAAGTTCTGGATTATAAATTTTGTGGAGCAAAAAGGTTCCAATATGAACCACCAAAATTCTGTTGTGGTAGCGGATCAATAAAATTGACTTCTCATCAAATGCCTGTAGAGTTGCAGAATTTATATTTAGGCAACACTACAGAATCTAAACATTTTCATACTTATAGTAGAACGTATAATAATATGTTTGCATTCACCTCCCTTGGTGTTAATTATGATAGAGTATTAGCAAAGAGAAATCGTGGTATATATACATTTAAATGTATCACTTTATTAACGATTTAATTCCTTTCGGAAAAAGAGCAAAAAATTTACAATTGTACTTTTATGATAACGAAAATGAGATAAGGAATCGAATGAGCTTACCAGACAAGTTTAATGTAGTAGTTGTCAAGAAACTGATGAAAATACTAAAGGTTAATCCATATTCTACTTTTCTAAAGTCATTAACAGATATTCCAAAATTATCTGACTTCTATATTGCACTTAAATCTGATTCTGGTTTAGACCAAAGAACATACAACTTACCTACTTCATCCGAAGTTGGGGCAATATGGATAGAAGAACAAACAAACAACGGAATTTTCACTCCGCATATTTGAATATACACTCATAGTAATAAAAGTCAGTTGGTAAATTATTATTATGGATGCTATGACCCATTACAATATCCATTGTTATTCTCATATGGTCAAAATGGATGGCATTGTGGTATTAAAAATATTAAGAAAACATATAGTCATTCAAATCACCAAATTTACTGCGAATGTGAACAACTGCCAAGTATATTGAACATGACTTCAATTGATGGGCTACTTGATATGGAATCTGAAGTTTTATCAAAAGGTAAAAGGAAAAGAGAACGGTTTCTTGCCGTGAATATTATTGTTACAAGATTCAAATAAGAGAGAATGAACCAAATGAAACTTTACATTCTGGAAGGGTATTTCAACAATACATTGTTGACCAATGCATAAAACTTGAGACTCAAAGACTAGATTTATTTTCCTTTAACCAATATTTATTCAGAACTGCAGTACTACAAGGGATTATTGGTTTGTTAAGACAGGGAGAAAGAGATGCCTCAAATATTGGAAAAAAAAATATTCTTCCTGTTAATTTTATTGGAGGCCCAAGAGATATGCATCGACGATATATGGATGTTATTACATTGGTACACCGTTATGGAAAACCCGACATATTCTTGACAATGACATGCAATCCTTCTTGGCTTGAAATTAAAAAATATTAACATCTGAAGAAGTTCAAAATAGGCCTGATCTAATCAGCCGAGTATTTAGAGCAAAAGTAGAGGAACTTAAAACAGATTTATTAAAAAATATTTTTGGAAAGGTTGCAACTTCCACATGCTCATTTCCTTATTATAGTTGCAGATAGATATAAACTATTAATACTAGAGGCTTATGATAAATTTGTCTGTGCTGAATTGCCTGATCGCAATTTAGATTCCTCTTTATATTCACTTGTGACTAAACATATGATTCATGGATCTTGTGGCTATTTAAATCCTTCCAATTCTTGCATGAAAAAAGATCATTATAAGTTTAAATATCATAAAGAACTTGCAGAACATACAACGAAAGAAAAAAATTCATATCTTATATGTAGAAGACGACAAATAGAGATACCTGTAGAAGTTAGAGGACATAATATTGATAATTCTTGGATTGTTCCTTTACAATCCATTTTTACTTAAGAAATTCAATTGCCATATTAATGTTGAAATATGTTCTGACATTAAAGTTGTCAAATATCTTTATAAATACATCTATAAAGGTCATGACAAAATTGCATTTTTTGTGCATGGTGATAATACAAATGTACATATAGATGAAATAAAAGAATATCAATCAGCTAGATGGGTCTCTCCACCAGAGGCAACATGGCATCTATTTGCTTTTCCTATAAGTGAAATGACTCCAAGTGTGATGCAACTTCAGTTACACCTTGAGGGAAAACAATTTGTATCCTTTAAAACTACCCAAAATATATATCAAATTGTAAATAATCCAATGACAAGGAGGACAATGTTAACAGAATTTTTTGTAATGAACAGTACCAATAAAGACGCTAAATCTCTAAATTTATTATATAAAGAGTTCCCAAAGTATTTTGTATGGTCACCAACTGACAAAATGTGGTCACATCGACAACGAGGTACTGCTATTGGAAGAATTGTAACGTGTCATCCAACCGAAGGAGAAAGATATTATCTAAGGCTACTTTTAATGAATGTAAGAGGACCTAAATCATATGCAGACCTTTGCAACCTCAATGGAAAATGTTGCGATTCATTTAGGGAAGCTGCAGAAAAGCGAGGCTTATTCCATTGTGATAACAATTTAATTGACTGTATGTCTGAAGCTGTGAATTATCAAATGCCTTATAGTTTAAGACACTTATTTGCTACATTATTAGTTTACTGTAATCCTGCAAATCCAAGAGAACTATGGGAAAAATTTGAAGAACCTATGTCTCAAGATTTCAAGAGAATTCCAAATTTGGGAACAAAAAAGATTCGACATTTAGTTTTGAATCATATTAATGAAGTCTTACATTCAATGGGACACAATATATACGAATTCAAATTTACTTTTGAAATTATTGTACTTCCTTTACCAGCTAACGAGGCAAAAGATGTTCAGTTTGAGAGAAATATAATAGTAAGTGAAGAAGATTTACTCTTAAAAAAGAAATTAAACTTTGAACAAAGAAGAGCATATAATATTATTCTTCATAGAGTATATTCTGATAAACCAGGAGCATTTTTCATTTATAGTCCCGGAGGAACGGGAAAAACATTCTTATATCGAGCTTTGTTAGCTAATATAAGATCAAAAGGTTTTATAGCTTTAGCAACTGCAAGTTCTGGTGTTGCAGCTTCAATTCTACCTGGAGGACGAACTGCTCATTCACGCTTCAAAATTCCTATAGACATTGATGAGAATTTTACATGTAATATTAGTAAACAAACAACATTAGAAACTCTAATTCAAGATTCAAAGTTAATTGTTTGGGATGAAGTTTCAATGGCAAAAAAGAAAATGATTGAAGCTTTCAATACTCTTTTAAAAGATCTCATGAATACGAATATACTCTTTGGTGGTAAAATTGTAGTTTTTGGTGGAGACTTTCGGCAAACACTTCCCGTTGTTTGTAGTGGGAAAAAAGAAGACTTTATTTGTGAAAGTTTACTATATTCTGATATTTGGAATAATCTTGAAAAGTTATGCTTATCAGAAATATGCGTGCAAAAGAAGATCCTGCTTTTTGTGAGTATTTAATGAGAATTGGAAATGGAAAAGAAGAAACTAACAACTCGAACAAAATTGAAATTCCACATAATTTTATCATTCCTTTTACTACTGAAACACAATCTTTAAATCAATTATTCAATGTTACTTATCTGAATCTACATACATTCTTTTCTAATCCATCTTCTATGACTTCCTGTGTTATCTTAACTACAAAAAATGATTTTGTTGATGAAATAAATGACATGCTTATACATCAACTTCCCAACAATGCTAAAATATATACTACAATTGATAAAACTACAGAACCAAGCGACCACTGACAATTTTAAGATTTTCTGCACATATTAAATCCTCCTAATTTGCCACCTTACAAATTAACTTTAAAAAAATTGTCCCGTTATATTATTGCGAAATTTAAATCCTTGTGAAGGATTATGTAATGGTACAAGGTTAATATATCACGACTTTAAGTCACATATAATAAGTGCTACTATTGCAAGTGGTGATTTCAAAAATATACATGTATTCATTCCGAAAATACCACTCTTAATATCACAAGATGAAAAGTTACCCGTTGCTTTCAAAAGAACACAATTTCCACTTCGATTATGTTTTGCTATGACAATTAACAAAGCTCAAGGTCAGACATTAGATTTTGTTGGAATTTATTTACATGAACCAGTATTTTCTCATGGTCAACTCTATGTTGCTTTATCTAGAGCAAAGAGTTCAAAAAATATAAAGATACTGATACGCCCACCAACGGCAGAGGATAAAGATGATCATTCTACCTACAATATAGTTTATGAGGAAGTCATTCGAAAAGCATTCCCTTAAATTAATTATATTTATGTCAATGATGATTCATTACTTCTCCTTCCAACCTGTATAAATAGGCCATTGTTACACTCGGGGAATTGCGCTTACAAGTAACTACTACATGAACAACTGATTGCTATTCGTAAATCATATGTGGTACACTATTAGGTCTGTGATATTTGAGATTTCAAATAAAGTTCGACTCATCCATCTTTTTGGATCCTTATTACCAATTCACACTCGCTCTTTCATAAGGTAAACTCTACTAACTGAGTTAAGGTAACAACATGTATCAGTATCAATTGCTTTCTTCATGTTTCTGCATTTCTTTACTTACCGTTATTCTCATATTATCTTTGTTTTTCTTTTTTTCATCAGTTTTATTCTCTTCTAGCTAGATCAGTTTCTCTATTCATTGGTCTTCTCTATTGCGTTTATGATGATCCAGCAAGTATCTCATTTTGCTTGTCGTGTTTAATAAATTAATCCTCTGAGTTTTTATACTTTTCTTTTTTCGATTTGCTTGATCTGCTATTCCATGTTTGTGTCGTTGTGTACATGCAGAACATTTATGGATTCACTCTCAAAACACACATGCATCCTGATCAGCGAGATACAACCAGAAATCATGTAAAGGGAAAAAAGAGGAAATTTCTGAGTTCTTAGTTTTCGTTTATTCTTTCTTGGTAAGAATGTAAACCTTTATTCTATTATATAGAATCTTCATTTGCCTATGAAATTCTAATTTGTGCTGCTTTATTTTCCTTTTCAATTTAATCTGTAAGATTTTGAATATTCTTTTCCCTCTTAATATTTTATTTTAATAGGAAAGAATTCTCCATTTAGAAAAGAAAAACTGAATGACATCCAATCTAGGGAGCTGGGATTGGAGTCATTGGATAAATCAAACATCGCTATGTATTAAAAAAATTGTCAGTTGTTCATTGAATGGAGAAAACTTAAGCTCAATTTTCATTAGTTGGGAGATAGCTTTTTTTTGTGTGGGTACAAACTTAATGACGAACCAACAAAAGATATCAATGTGAGCTTACCAAAACTAATACATCTGGTTATCTGTTAAAAGGCTTCTATGAAATTTTATTCACAAAGGTGCACAAAGTACAAGGACATACAAGCTTGATTCTTAAATAAACTTGCGATTTATTGGGAAAAACTAAGATTGCAGCTTCTAAATGTAGCTTCCAACCATATAAATTAACCAAAGTTGCTAAAAATTATTAACACTAACTTTCCAGGGAAAAAACTTTTGAAGCCACCAGAAACCTAATGTAATAAGTGGCTCTTAAAAGTTCTCTCTTTCTCTCTCTCTCTCTCTCTCTCTCACACACACACACACTTTTTTTAGCTGAAAGAAACATAGCAAAGAAGTCTTACTTTGTGAGTCCGCTTTCCCACTAAACAGCTAAAACACATGCATGTCTCCTACCTTGACAGGTCAAGTTTAGTTGTCTCTCAACTTTATTCCAAACAAAGATATATCTATTTTTCTTTAGCAACATATAGATAAATGAAGGATTCATATATGCACTCATAAAAATGAGGGTCAATTGAGTTATATTCCTCTCTTAAACTCGCTGCTCTTATATTTTGTCGCAGATTAAAGATGCAGCTACCTGCTTTGGCTAATTTGTGTGACCATAAAGAAAAAGAAAACGTAAAGTGAGTTTTCTTTCTTCTTTTTTGGGTGAACTGCTCTCTGTTACAAAATAGGTTCCTCTTTTTGTAGATTCTAAGAGAATTGTGAGATGCTTGTGGGTTTCTATTTTGTGATCTATCGAAGGTGGTAAAAGATATTGAAATTCTTGATGCAAAATAGGTATTTTCTATTTTTTGGATGTAAATGACTAAATGTAGAGAATCCTGGCTTATAAATGAAATAAAGCTGAGTATTTCTCTTTTTATTTTGAGTTATAACATTTGCATACTACGAATTTGAATCTCGACTGATTGTAGTAGGTCTTCAGTTTTTCCTTCTCTATCTCGGCGCATATGTTTCTGTATCTTCTAAACATTTAAATACTAAACATTTGAATACTGACTTTTTGAGTTTTCAGTTACTGGAGAACTTTATCTACCTGGAAATTTAAATGTTTTCGTTGTAAGAAGATTTTGGGGCGTAGCTGGGCAGTGGACTTCACCAATAATTCTGCTTCTCCTTCCTCCTGTCATATCCCTGATCAGGTATTCTTTCCTTTTCTCAAAATTATAAATTAAAGATAAAGACCGAATCTAGAATTTAGGAGTTAATAGGTTGTGGATCTGCCTTTAGTATTAAATATAAAGTTACTTGATTAATATTACGTTAATGCGTTCTTATTTTAACTAATAAATATGTGGTGCAGCCTGGTGACAAGAGAGACTCTTAAGTTTTCAAGTTTTCAAACAGAGGGCTTCCAACATTGTCTTTAGTGAATGAAGAATTATTTAAGGCTACTTCGAAGTAAAACATGAAATTGCAGGTTGTAGAATGACAAACTAAGAACCTCTCTTCGTGTATCATGTATCGATGAGGTGAAGAATGACCACATGCATGAAAAATCTCGGTAGGTATAGTATACAGTGTTGCCTTTTGTATTGTCCAGTGTCGGTAAACACAGTCAATAATTTCGACCAATTCGTCAATTTTCTTTAATCTGTCTTCAAGATACTCTTTTTCCTCTATGTTTTCCAAACTAAATATTTTCTTAACACTTTTGTTTGCATTGGTCATGATATCGATAGAATTATTTGAAATCTTTCAGAGCAGACAGATCTTTGTGTTGGGCCCGT